AATAAAGCAACATGTGCCAAACAAATCATTCCTCTTCAAAATTATTTGTTACAGAAAGTGTTCTCAGAATTTCAACATGATAAGACATTCTAAAAACGTGAGTATTATTTTTAAACAGTCTTAGTTTAAAAGTACTGCTAAACACCAAACTGGACAGTGAGCACCTAGATTAGAAGACAAACTATCAAGGTTCCACAGCATGGTTAAAAAGGTCATTCAGCCCGTCATGTCCACACTGATCATCAAGTACCTATCATCCTAATTCTAATCTTCCAGCACTTGGCTTGTAGCCTTGTATGTTAAAGCATTTAAAATGTTCATCTAAATACTTCAAAATGTCTTGAGGGTTAACTTTCAAATGCAGACACGTCATAATGCATTGATTATAGATCTCCCACTAATAGTCTTACTTTTTTTTGGAAAAATTCACGAGGCCACAATTATTTGCCAAACCTTGGTTAAAAACAACTAGCTTGGACATAGCAACAGGGAACAGGACTGCTGGTGCCATAACTTTAACATTTTTCTATTATACTGAAGTCAGCATTAACTTAAGCCATACCAATCCCAGCAACAGCTTTAACACTCATCTCTATAAACTGTCAACTAACTATGCAACCCTTTTGAAAAAATAATTTTATACTGGGATATGGTGTCTACATTTTACCATTAAAAAGGAAGAAATACAAAATACCCTAGTCCAGCAGGTTAAACATTTAGCCTTTAAATGGATTTAGATTATTCCAAGAAATTAAAGATGAAATCCCTGGTCTTTCACTCTTTTTCTGCTCTTAGCTAGTATTGCTGGCAGTACCGACTTCAGAATATCCCTGGCTCAAAATTTTAAGAAAACATTAGGACTGGTCTTGACACATCACTGTACAATGGACTCAAATTTTATCATGTGATTCTAACAGTAGGTGCCATGCTGACATGATAAAATAGGAGTTTAACTCCAATCTTTGGTAATTAATTAGATGAGCATTGGGCTAGCACATGGAAAATGTCCAGTCAGGCTTCATCCTGACTTCCAACATCCCTTGTAAACGTCTTGGTCCTTTCCTAAGGGCTGGAAACTTGAAAAACATGATAGTTTCTCCAATCCAATATAACTGGTCCCCTAATCCAGAGATTTAAAGACAAATATACAGCACAGCATATTACTTTATATATGCAATACTACAAGTATCTGGTAATTGCGAAAACCTGAAAAGGTGAGATGGGCACTATCTTCAATCTCAGCTCAGTAATTAGTCAAATTGAGTCCTTGAGGAAACAGAGTACATTGTTGTGGCAGGGTACAATCTCATAAGATGTTTCCCTCTTCCAATGCCCTCCCAAAATGGTCAACTTCCAGAGGTCACAGTCATCACTGACTGTCAGTGTTGTCTTCGTAGCAAAGGTAAGGACTCCTTGGAAATTGTGACCCAGTGGCAAATTCACCTTGTCCCGCCAAAAACAACGGATGCAACTGGGACAGTCAAGGAGGAAACTGCTCAACCTTTTCTCTTGCCTAGCATATGCTGTCCAGCTCTCACCGCTATTAGAGGAATGCAGTCAAGGACATGGAGCCTCAATTAGATTGTTATTGTTCTACATTCTCTTACTCAGCATGAGCAAAACAGCTGCAGCTACTGAAATTCACTGCATCCAGTATCATGTGGCAAATAGCTTTATGTTGATGGCTCCATAATTAACAACAATCAACAACCTGCAGCATTACGTTGTCAATACTGATAGATGCCAGCATTCTGGGCCATGACATCTGTATTTTGATACAAAACCTTTCGATTCAAATTACTCGAGAAACTCAGGAAGTCCAGCATCATCTAAGGAGAGAAAGCAGAATGACATTTCTGGTCCAATAACCCTTCTTTCGAGGAAGGGTCACTGGGACTGGACCAGAAACATTAACTTTGCTTTCCCTCCACAGATACTGTCAGACTTGCTGAGTCTCTCCAGCAATTTCTGCTTGTGTTTAAATTTCCAGCAAGTGCAGTTCTTTGTTCTAGTCTGTCTTTCTGATGTTGAGTACATTATTTTTCTAACCAATAATAACTTCTATCAGTGGCTGTTACCAACTTACTACTACAGACTGGAGTCTGGGCACCTGGATACACAACTTGTAACAGTGAGACATAGCATTCAGAGTGATAAAGAACTCCTGAATTTTACAAGTTATTGCAGGGATGGTCAGGGTGCTGAACACCGAGCTCCACACTTGTTACAAGTAAGATTGGGAGTTAAGGCAGATGTTGAAAGTTTGCTACTTTTCTGTACTCTGGGTGTCTTTCACATGAAGGGCAATTCTAGAGCACTAAGCATGTTGGATATGGAATACAAAGCCCAGACAGAACAGACTGGATGAGTTGGATGTGGTCAAGTCAGGCAACATGCATTTTGGTACACTGCTGAATTTTAATTTTTTTTAAAATGCGTTTTAAAACAAGAGGCAAATTCTTCTAATACTCAAAATGAATTTGTCAGAATGTTTTCCTCTTCTCATCATACAATGTTTTAGCACTACAAGAATAGAAATTTGTTCAGAGTAGGATATAGTATAGCTTAACAATAGAGCAGTGAAAAATACAAAAAACTTTTACTGATTGGTTGACAAAATTAAACTCTTCTTTCAGATTCCCTCGTCATGAACCATTGCCTGGTTTAATCTGTCAGGCCTCTGCCAGTCTTGCTCTAAATTCATTAGTAAGACAAATTCATCAGTACAACAAAAGCCCTAAATTAGCATTTCCTTAAAATTTGGGGAAATACCTTGGCCTAGGCTCTGCTTGTGATCCAAACAGCTCTACGCACACCTGCTCGATTTTAAGCCTGTACTTTGCCAGCTATTGATGAGGTGGACACAATAGTCTGGCTTCATTTACTGCTGACTTAACACTTAACATGGAAAAGTGACTCGTAGCACTAACAGAACTTTCAAATTCTTGTCAAAGAAGGTTTCAATCCAATCCGTATCGAGAAACATCTCAACTACCACTCAGTTCCCAGGTTTCACTGGTTTGTCAGTCCTTATTGAGGTCAATTGCTTTCTTCTTGGAGGGAATAAAAAGGAAGAGGTGAGCATAGAAGCCTATATTCACAATGCAAACTAAGGTGAATAATTTAAGTCAATATTATATTTTATAGCTATTAGTGCTAGAAGTACATAAAATAGATAAATCTATGAATAATTCATTCATTAAAGTTCTTTATATCTATCATTGAGCACTCAAATTGTTTAGAGTTTCTCTCCAATATATCCCAGACAGCCTTGAAGAATCAGTTGTTGCCTTTTCTGACATGTGCGTATACTGACATGCACTTTGCAGGAGAGGACCCTAGATAAGGATCAGAGTTTTAAATTCCAGCTGATCTTCCTTTCACTGCAGAGCGACAAGAACAATTTTAGCCATACTGCAGCCCTGACTAAAAGCAGCTAATTCAGCAAAGTTAACAGTGTTCAAGTTAGACACTGAAGCATCAGGAAAACTTGCATGCACACAAGTTAATGCTTGCAATGCAATACCCATTGTTCTAATAATTTCTGCTTTTTGAATGGCATGTTAAAAACCAAATGCTACTTAACTACACCTGAAAGCAATGATTAAAAATCACTTCAAAAAGGAGCAATTAAAATGAGAATCTGTTAGATGAAAAGTGACAGTTGAGCAAATATGAAGGGGTCTGGGTAGCACGGTGGGTTACCAGACTATTCTTTCCGTTCTGGAACTCCAATTGGAATCCAGCCCAGGGCGACAGGGAAGTCCCCTTTCTGTGCCAACAGTAAGGGTCTTACTGAAAATGGACTAGGATTGTCTCAACCCAGTTCTTCAGGAAAACGAAAATTGCATACCTCTGCAGTTTTGATGCCAATCCAGACTAAAACAGTCCATCCTCTAACACTGACATTCTTGCTTCATGAGCATTAAAAAGAAATCAGTCAACAGGTAAAATCATAGTGCTTTAAAGGCTTTAAAAAAATAGGCTTAACTAATAAAGAGAGACCATGTTTTTGTCAATACATGTCAAAACTAAAGAGAGCAATGCTTGAAAAGCCTTGGAGTAAAACAACAAAGATTGGAATGATGATAAATAGCAACAAGATTAATCTAAGTGTAAAAAGAAAAATTATATTAAAACATCCTCTGAGGCAGTCAAGGGGCAGATAACTGTAACAAATAGTATGGATGTTATGCAATACATTGGAATTCAGCTGGAGCCCAAAGTCGTATTCTATTGGACTAAATATTCCAAAATGTATCACTCATCAGGCCTACAAAATTAAATTTGACTATAATTTACAAACACGTTTTAAAGGAGAATTGGCACAAGTTGATTTTGAAGTAGTAGAAATCTACAAGTGCAGACACTGCAGAGTTGTATTTGAACGAATCTCAAAATCAAGTCAACCCTAATAAAGTAGGGTATCCTCTTTATCAAAACAAACATCTTGAAAAAGACACCTATTACGCCACTCAATTTCTGAGCTGGTTCAGGAAATGTACAAAACGTACACACGAAGCACAGACCTAATTTCAGATTAAACCAGATTCCAATGCATTCCAAAGTTTTTAAGCATAATTCTGAGTTAAGGTATCATTATAGCTTTATTCCAACAGTAACAAACTAAAATATTGTGAATGAATTGTCGATCCAGTCACTTTCAGCCGACTATATTATGTGCAAATCAGATTAACAATTCAATAGAATTGTTTGTTTATCGCGGCGGGGTCACTCACTCAGCATCCAGCCAAAGAAACACTTTTAGAACTTTTCAATCAGATTCGTGTTTGGCTGTAACGAATGCCAGTTAAACGTTTCCTTTCTGACTTTGGGAGGTGGCTCAAACAGCAAGTTTCAGATGCTTACATTTTTAAGTCTTTTCTTTTCTTAAGTTCTTTTCTTTCCCCCGGCACTGACTTGAACAGGTTCAGTAACAACCGGAATAAACAGAAACATTTCCCCCCTGCAGAACACAGCAGCTGCTCGGTGTCACCTACCTGGAGTGAGTGGCCATGGTGCCGTTTGGTGAGGCAGCTTCCAGCGGCTTGCCATCAGCTTTAAAGCAGGTTTCCCCCTAACGCTGCACACATAGCCCCTGCTCCGTTCCTGAGAATGAGGGGACGAAAACTGCTACGTCTCTCACTCTGCTGGCAGCCGGCCTGGGACATTCTCCAGCTGGGGCTACGGCTGCAGTTTTGCTGGGTTCAGTTCCCCAGCTCAGCCTTGGCTCAGTTTGCAGCTGATAACCATCCGGGCACTCGGCGGCGGCAGCAGCACCAGCAAACACACACAGAGAGAGAGAGAAACAACCATTCATTCAAAGATCAAGGGGAAAGTATAGCCCTCAAGGCAGACCGGGTAACCCGCTTCAGAAAACACACCAAGCACCATCCAGGTTTCTGCCGTCACAATTGGTACCAGTCAATTAATTCATTTTTCACATGAAACCCCAGGAGGTGCAATCTGCTCTGTACTGGGAAAGCTAGCTGACAGTGGAATGGTGCAGTCCACTCGCCTTCCTAATTTGGAAATGTTATTTGGGGCCAGACAAGTACTTAGCAGCGGCTCTTAGTGCAGGAACATATTGTCCTATCACAATGCACGGAGGTGGAAGCCGCTGAACTGCCTGCCCTGCTATGGGGGCGGGGGAGGTAAAAGGCAGAGAAAGAGAGAGAGGGGGATACACACGGAAGTTGCGAGCCAGCGCGGCGCTGCAAGTATCAAACTGCGGACTGGAGCAGAGCAAAACGTGGAGTGTTGCGGCGTTCAGACCACAACAGAGCTCAGGAGGGAGTGTGGCAGCGTTCAATCTGCAGCACAGAGCCTAGCTGAGCTCAGGAGGAACGTGGAGCGCGTTTGGCAGGTTCTAAGAGTAAGGTGGCACTTGGGGAGCATTTAGACTGAAATGCAGAATCTGGCTACGTTTACTTGGTACAGCATAGCAGCATTCGGATTGGAGCATGAAATATGGCAGCATTCAAGAGCAACGCCGAAACTGACAGCTTTCAGAAAGAGTACGGAGCCTGGAAGCATTGGGACTGCAACAGGGAGCCTGGCAGTGTTTGGGCCCGAACGCAAAAAGTCCTGCAACTCTCAGTAGAAAGACGGAGCGTTCAGACTGGAAACAGTCCACCTGCCAACTGAGAGATGAATTATCATGGAATATACAAATGATAGTGGAAAGCATGATGTTAGTAAGATATCAGCGATGGAGAATAGAGAGAGATAAGAAGCATGGTAAAGAGAGAGGCCTTAGTCATTGCACTAGCGAACTCCATCCAGCCACACGTAATGGTTAAATATAGGTAAATGTGTGTTTCAGTACTGAAGATAGTGAGAATGCTGGACAGAATAAGAATTACACCAGACTCTAAACATTAACTTTGTTTCTGTTACCACATATACTGCCAGACCTCCTGAGTTTCTCCAGCATTGCCTATATTCATTCCAGATTTCCAGCATTTGTTGTAGTTTACTTTCCTTACAGTAAGTAGATGAACTGGGATGCGAATGACCCAGAACAGGGATAACTTAGTAAAGTCAGCAGTCTCTAACAATGTACATGTAGACATTCAAAGGCCCAGAAATATTAAAAAGTATGTAAATATGCGAATAACAAGGTTAACATAAAGCATGTTGGCTGTATTGGAAACCTTCAGAGCCAGGTTCTGAAATCAAATCACACCCCATGAGATGCTGCAGAGAAAAAAAAGATATCAAAGGCTGGGGTAAAAACTCGAAATACTTTGAGGACAAGGCACCTGAGTGAGAAGACTCAGAATGGTAGCAAAGACCCTCAAAGGCCTTTGAAGCCAAAGCCACACATTAGCAGGATTCTGAAGCGCAAGCATGTATAATCGGAAGACTTGAAGTAGAAGAAGGAACGAATCTAGGTCCTCTCCCAGGTCAACATGACGCAGTGGTTGATCATGATACCAGCTCCAGTGGGGACGTTGCCATTGCCGTAATTCAATTCAACAACACAATAGAGCCATAATGAGGATAAAATTTTGGAGCTGTGGAAATGACAGTTACAGTGCTGCAGAACAGCATTAGATTTGCAGACAAAGGAGCAATGACACCAAATCTACATATTTTCCTAGGCTGTTGTAGGTCCAATAGCAGATGATGCCCTGCTGAAACATAGCATGGAAGAAAGTGCTGTGGAATTCAAAGCATATATTTTGGTTTTTGCCCAAATTGTACGTTTACCCAAGGTGAATTCTCATCATAGAAACAGCAAAGATCAACCGGCAATTTCAATGACAGGGACAATCAATTGAGGCATTTTTAACAGATTTATACATGTTCTGGTATGGAGCTTGAAATTAATTAGAGATTACACTGTAGTAGGTGTCAGTATGAGAAATTGTAATATTTCCTTCAGTCTAAGGAGGACCATGTGTTCGGTAAGGTAATCCAAAATGCTATTCAGATGGAGACCTGGGTCCAAAATCAGCTTTGTCTTTGAGGAAACATGGTGGATTCTTCTGAAACAGTAAGAAGTGTGGGACCAAAGGTAATGTCGTCATCCTCCCAAAAGCTTGCCAAAACAGCAGGACAACAGCATTGACCATATTTAGGTTATTCAAGGTGTGGATCAAAGTAATACCACAATGCAGTGAGAGCCTGTGGAGAAGCTGAGTGCTATCAATATGGGAAATTGAGCTGGGATATAATAACCCAAGAAATACTGGAAAGCAGCAGTACTTTCTTCGCCACAGAACTGGAGAAGATATCCCACCAAGGGAGACTTTCTAGAAAAATAGGAATCATATGGAAAAGAAAACAGTTCGAGAAATTAAGGATGAGGACCAAAAAAATTAGTCAGCATTTCTAGGTGAGGTGAAACACAGTCAGAGTCATGCAGTTCGGAAACAGACCCTTCAGTCCAACTCATTTGCTCTGACCCGACATTCCAATCTGAACTAGTCCCATTTGCTGGCATTTGGCCCATATCCCTCTAAACCATTCCTATTCATATACCCATCTGGATATCTTTTAACAGAGATTCTGGATCATCTTAAAGGTTTAGGAGTTTCAAAACAAAGTTCAAACTTGATGGGCAGCTGTTTCAATACTGGCTGACAGCCTGTCAAATTTGAAGTTAATGAATGTTTCACCTTCAAACATGGAACTGCAAGATTCAGGCACTATAGATCTTCAGGTTCATGGAACAATTCACTACAAAACACTGCCACAAAGGATGAGAAGTCAGTGAGCACTCTATGTACTCAAGAATAGGGACACTTGAATATAAAGTATACACACATGTAATTCTCTAGGTCTGTCTCTTAGAGATAGAGAATACAGTGCTCCAAAAAAGTGGAAGAGAATTCCAAAATGAATTTCTGAGAGTAGGAGAAATACCACATTGCAAGAAGATGCTACGCTCATCCTCTGTACACTCCAAAGAATATTTCTCAAACACTATTAGAAAAGATGAAATCTCAAGTTAGATAACATGGTAAAAAGAAATCATATCACCAGGAGCAGAACTGACACATGGCACTTAAGGTTGGCAACAGTTCCTAAACTAGGTGAAGAACTAAAATTGTATGTACATCTGATCAGTTAAATAAAGGAGTTCAAAGAGAAATCCATCCAATTTTGTCAGTCAACAACAGTTTAGCCAAATTAGCAAGAAACAAGTTCTTTACTCAACTAGACATAAACAGTGGATATGGGCAGATAACCAGAGTCAGGATTGCTAACTATGTTATACTATTCAGATGATATTGGGGTTTTAACTATTTACCACTTGGAATGTCATCTGTGCAGGAAATTTTTCAGAGAGCGATGTCAAAAATTCAGAAAGTAAAACGGGGAACTACTTGACACGTGGACTATACCTTAATGCATGGTCAGACAGAAAAGGATCATGACTGTAAGTTCAGGGAGGTGTAAAGGGCACTACAGAATGCAGACCTCACACTAAACGAGAAATGCCAATTCTCAAAAACAATAATTACACTTTTGGGAAATAATGGCCGATACCCTGTCAAGCAGAACAGTGGATCAAGCTGACAAAAAAAATTAGGTGTCTTTGTTGTCCAGACGTTCCAGGGATGAGTACAGGGCTAGGGATATGGCATCCCTGCGGACCTGTTATGTCAGTTGGCAAACTGTAGGGGATCGAGGCAGGTTGGGAGACTGGAGTTGATGTGGGCCATGATTATTGAAGTCAGAGCTATTGGGTGGTAGTCATTAAGGTACAATGCATGTGTTTTCTTGGGTACAGGGATGATGGTGGTCTTCTTGAAGCAGGTGGGGACTTTGGCTTGTTGGAGGGAGAGATTGTTGAGTGATTCAGTTAATGCAAATTGTTTCAGATATCCAAGAGAACTAACTTGCACTTAGACTCAGTTCCTCTGGTTCCATGCGGAACAATGGACAGCAAGACTTTGCCACCAACGCTGATCATTTGCAATCTCATTCACTCCAGCCTTAGCATCGGCTTTGAAGGTCACCCCTACATGTACCTCACCAGGTGTTTTTTTGTCAGCTCTTTCTTCCCATATGGTGATGTCCATTATAATGGCACTCAAGGCATATGTCCAGTGAAATAGCCAGGTGTCTTGCCAGTCTCAGTTGTCTCTCTATCATGGTATCCCATAGGCACCTCTAACTAATCTGTGTAGCAGTACATCATCGCTGACGTAGTCTCTCCATGAGTGATGCCCACAATCTTAAGTAGGCAATGCTGGTGGAAGACATCCAACTTACGCAACATCTTTGCTGTTCTTTTCAATGTTTTGCTGGCATAGATTACAGTTGGTATTACAGTGGACTGGTAAAGTTGCAACTTTTTGGGTGTACTGATGGTATTGGATGCCCAGACCACGTGAAGTCACTGGAAGACTGATGCTGCTTTGTCAATTTTTTGTATGGGTTTCGGTCTCTACATCACCATCATTGGAGGTACTGCTTTCTAAGTAGGGGAAGAGATTGATGTCCTAAATCTTCTGTTGCCTGATATTCACGGGAGGAGCTCAAAGCATGTTCAATTTTAAGGTTAATGTGAAGCTTCAGCTCAGCAATGTTTAAGTTGATGCTTGGACTTTAGGAATGGAGAGAGGCAGTGGTATAGTGGTACTGAACTGGCAATCTCGTGGCCCACTCAGTGCCCTGATGACATGGGTTCAAATCTAGCACAGCAGCTGGTGAAATTTGAAATTAATGAATAAATTGGTATCTAAAGCTAGTCACAGCAAAGGCAACCGTGAAACTGTCAATAATTGTAAAAAAAAATCTGGCTTACTATTACTCTTTAGGAGAGGAAGATGCCATCCTTACCTAATCTGGCCTGCGTGTGACTTCAGTCTCACAGCAATGTAATTGAATCTTATCAGCCCTCTGAAACGACCTAGCAAGCCACTCAGATGTATCAAAAATTCTACAAAATCCAAAGGAAGAAATGGAACAAGACAAACAACAGCAAACTCAGCCCTGTCGACTCAACATGATACAGATTCTCAATGTGAACATGTGGCTTAGTCTCCACAATGACTGTGCAGTGGTCACTCTTAACTAATAGTGTCATTGATGATTATTCGGTAACAGGTATGTTGGTGAGAATTATGCCAAGTATAGCTTTCCCTGTTGCAGGTTCCTTTACCAGTATCTGAGGGCTTGTGTCAAAAATGGGGAGAGACATCTCATTGAAGTCAAACAGCAGCCTGATATAGTCATATGAGTTATGGATATGGTGAAGCCACCAAGCAAGTCTACTTGTGTGCCAAACAGCATAAGCAGCAAGTGATGAACAGACTTAAGTGATTCCACAATGAATGGATCAGCTCTGCAGTTCTATCACATCCAGTTGTGAGAAATGATGGGCAATTAAACAATATACTGGAGGAGAATGTTCCACAAATACCTGAATCCTCAAATGATTCCAGCTTGAAGGAGTCTCACCTTCCTTTGGGGTGGCATGGTGCCTCAGTGGTTAGCACTGCTGCTTCACAGCAGCAAGAAGCTGGTTTCAATTCCACCCTTGGGTGACTGTCTGTGTGGAGTTTTCACATTCTCCCCGCGTCTGCACGGGTTTCCTCCCACAGTCCAAAGATGTGTAGGCTGGGTGGCATGGCCATGCTAAATTGCTCATAGTGTTCAGGGATGTGTAGATTAGGTGGGCTATAGGGGGATGGGTCTGGGTGGGATGCTCTGAGGATCAGTGTGGTCTTGTTGGGCCAAAAGGCCTGTTTCCTCACTGTAGGGATTCTATGATTGGGGACCCCAGCACATAGGTGAAAAAGATAAGGTTTAAGCATTTCTACCAATCTTCAGGCAGAAGTGCAGAGTAGATGATCCATCTTGGCCTTCTCCAGAGATCCCAACATGACAGGTGCCAGTCTTCAGCTAATTCAGTTCACTTGCCATGATTTCAAGAAATGGCCAAAGACACTGGATGTTGCACTATGAAGACTTATGCTCCAAAACTTGCCGCTCCCCTAGCCAAGTTGTTCCTGTACAATTACAACACTGGCATCTACCCAATAATGCAAAAAATTGTCAGGTATGTCCCGTTACTACAGAGGAGAGATGACTCCTCGCAGTCACTCTACAAATCAACAAGTAACAAATTATTTATCTAACTCTAACAATGAACAAGTTAACAGAACTGCTAACAAACTGAATAATTCCCCTCTTGACTACTAACTATTCCTGAATAAAACAAAATTCTAGTGGTATGCTGTTCCAATAAATACAAGTTCCATTTATGTAAACCAAAGTAATAAGAAAAACAACCTAAAACTTAGTTTCGTGAACTTACAGCCAGAATAAGTCTTCTCCGCAGTTTTCCATTCAGGAACATAGTTCTCTGTCAAATTCTTATATCAGGAATATTAGCTAAGAGTGCCGTAGTACCTTTATTTAGATAGTGCTTACTCTGAGAGCTTAGAGATTTCTGTGAGAGCCAGTGAGTTTCTGTTCAGATGGCACTTCACTCTCACTCTGATTTTCAAATGGCCTCTTCTGTTATACCCTTGATGACCTATCAATTTCTTACAATAGGATTGGTTCTAGGTTGTCAAAACCATCAGATTTAAATTTAATTGCGTTTTGGCATCCAGGGCCTGGTTTAAATTAATTGGATAAATTCAAAAACCTGTTGTCTTCATAAAAATGCTGCTTTGCCTGTTAACAGTATAGCTTTTTGATACGATGTTTCAGTTTCAAGAACTCTCTGTGTATCTGCTGCTGCCTGCAGACTTTTTTTTAAACATCATATTTTAAAGGTATCATACACTCTTCCCTCTTATCATTTTACAAAGTCTAACATCCTGCCTTCCAATCCACAAATACTATACCCAACTTCACAACAACATACACAAAAAGCAGGACAAACACAACCTGGCCCAATCACCTGCTCTATCAGTCTCCTCTTGATCGTCAGCAACGTAGTGGAAGGGGATGTTGAAAGTGCTAACAAATGACACTTGAAAGGGAATAACCTCTTCATTGACACTCTGTTGGGGTTCTGCCTGGGTCACTTAGCTCCTGCTCTCATTGCAGCCTTGGCCCAAACATGGACATAAGAGCTGCATTCTAGTCATGAGATGACAGTAACCCACCTTGTAACAGGCAGCATACAACTGAGTATAGCATCAAGTGTCTAGCAAAAGTGTACTTTATAGGAATCAGGGTGGGGGAGGGCAAGAGGCGATGTCTTTGCCAGTTGAAGTCATACCTAGCACAATGGAAGATGGATCTGGTTGTTGGATGTCAGTCTTCTCAGCTTCACAAATACTTTGTAACATCTCCCGACTTGAGAAAATAACAAACCATCATGAGGAAAAGATGGTTTCTTTCTTTTTTCTAAATCTTCATGCCGTTATTACTAGACAGATAGGTCATTAATCTAGAGTTGTACATCCATAGTAATTCTATATATATATAACATTTGAACATCATTGTTTCTCTCTTATAGACAAATTTTCCTTTTAAACCCACGATAACGTATCTGCAATAACATTTTCTCAAAGTGCAACATGTACAATCTATAAATTAAATGTTTGTAACATAAGACTCTAATGAAATAGTCTGGTGTTCTTATCTTTAAATTTTTCCAAAAATTTCAAAGGGTTGTGATCAGTGTACACAACCGTGTCTGATACATTGTTTGCAACATAAACATTAAAATGTTGTAAGGCCAGTAGCAAACTCAACAATTCCTTTCCAACGGTTGAATATTTTCTCTGGTGGAAATTGAGTTTCTCTGAAAAATAATCGATCAGCCTTCCTATTCCACAATCATCCTCCAGTAACAATACAGCACCAACCCCTTTATCGCTTGCATCGACAACAACTTTAAAGGGTTTCAAGAAATTTGGCATGGCTAAAACTGGTGAGGTGGTTACCACTGCTTTTAAATTCTCAAATGCCTCCTGGCATTGGTCTGTCCACCAAAACCTTGTGTTCTTCTTTAAAAAAAATCCATTAGTGGTGCTTTCACACTACTAAAATTTAGTACAAATTTTCAGTAGAATTCACTCAGTCCCAAAAATCATAGCACTTCCTTCTTCAAGGGTGGTCTTGGAAATTCCTTGATGGCCTTTGTCTTCACGTTCGTTGGTGTCATCTGTCCGTGTCT